AGTTTTGATGCAAAAACGCATGATCGCACCGGCTCGCCTGGTGCGTTCCAGCCTTTGTTTAACTTTGCAACCAGATGAGCCAAGCAGTTCAAACTTTTTATATCACTGTCCTTGGTCATTTCTCTGTATGTTCTGTGCTAGAGAAACCAAACGTCGCATTTCAAACTGAAGAATCCTGCTATGATAAAAAAAAATTTGAAGTAAAACTGTCATTCTTTAAATAAGCAGCTGTTTTATCTGACTGCAAAAGCGCATGATCGCATCACTGATCCTGATGTGTACCGCTACTGGCTGTTGATCTTTTCCTTCCTTTTGAAAAGCAGAAACATTTGAATTTTTGCTTTCAAAACAGGGTGGAAGTTAGAGATTAAATCCTGTTTTTTTTTTTTCCGAATCATTGGATATTATAGTGTTCTCGATCATGCGACGGTGGAGTAAGGGTGCGTCATGCATCATGTCAGGATGCTGCTGGTCGGGAAGTCTACACGAACTTGTGCAACAACAAAGAGAAACATGATCGTGAAAAATGTAATGAACAAATCTGCGCACAGTGGAGATTCGGAAAATGGGGAAGTTGCTCAGTGAGTTGCGGCGATGGGATCGAAACACGGGATGCGGTGTGCACGGATCGAGAGGGCCGAGTAATTGCACAAAGTTCGCTTCTGTTACAAACACGTTAAACTGATCTGCTGGAAATTGTTGGGGGGGGGGGGAGTTACCACGTACCCATATTTTCTTGTCATTAGCAAAGTGTACTAGTTCTAGTGCATACTATCTCCAGATGCCTTGAGTGAAATAATTCTTACTGTTAGGTATTTATTTGACTGAATATATTTTGAGGTGAAGAGACAGTAGTGCTGATCGTAAATTGTGGGGCTTCAGTTCAGAAAATCCATGAACAGCACAGTAATTTAGGACCACATTTCCACAGACTAGAAGCTCCGATGCTAATTATTATGAATTCAGCTTTATGTGATCGTCGGGAGCGCATTGTGCAAAAACCGTGTCATCGTATGGCTTGTCCAAGCTGGCGCCTCGGATCTTGGAGTGCATGTTCGGTGTCATGCCTTGATGGGTGGAAAACTCGGCATGTGTCTTGCGTCGATGCTAATGGTAATGAAGTGTCCAACGAGCAGTGTCTAAAACAAGGCGAAGTCCGACCACAGAGCCATCAGCCGTGCAGTCAAGGGCCTTGCCCGTTTTGGAGAACGACTGATTGGTCAAAGGTTCGATCAACTATTTTCTGCTTCTTATAAGCAAAATAATATTAGTACAGTTCGTTGCTTCTCTGGAAGTTTCAGTCATGGAACTTCTGAAAATTAAAATTTAAAACTTTAAAATCATAACCATTGACTTTGGTCCTGGAGGTTTGGAATCGATCAAGCATCTGTTTATGCCCCAATTTTTGTCACTGAATTCATTTTTAAATGTAAGTGTGCATTTGTATATCATTTGAAATATATACATATATATATATATATATAGATATACAATCCACTTTCAATAACACAGAACCCACGTAGTTGGAATTTTGTAAACATAATTCCCGACAGATGTACATGACCTCGAACTTAGAATCAACTTTTTGTTTTCTCTTTGTTCCGACTTTTAGCTCCAGTTGCCAAATTCCTTAATTCGGGGACCAAAGTACATAAGGGCTTGATATTTGAAAAGTTCACTATGCTGTGTACTGCGTTTCATGAAGTCACGAATCCTACCTTACCAAATCCGCAGATCTGAAAACCAAAGCAACACTGTAATGAGGAAGCACTCTCATCCATGCGTTGTTACTGGTTTCAAAATGTTCATTTGTAATTTCGAGAGGGCCTTCTAAATTGAGTCGGATTTTTGCAGTGTTCGGTGTCATGTGGTACTGGTGTCAGGACACGAAACGTCGAGTGTATTTATCGGGATCAAGTTGTGGATGGCTCGCTGTGCAGCGATGTCCAGGTGCCCAAGACCGAGCAGTGCAAGTGAGTAATTTCGCGTCATTTTTTATGCGTTTTTTGCAGCTATGCAATGCAAAAACGCATATTGTCGTGGGGTTGTCTGTGTGTGTATGTGTGTGCGTATGTGTCTTTGTGTGTGCATCTGTAGCGAGTTTTCATCTCGAGATCCACAGAAGCTACAAGGCTGGAAATTTGGTGACTTAATCTACACATGCGTGCGGGCTCGTACGCTCAAAATGGGCGCTCAGGTCCGCGTGGTTCTCACGTAGGGGCACGTTAAAGT